ATTTTTAACTGCTACATGTAACTGCCATGTGCAGAAATTTTATTAAGGTGGATATTTTGTTTAAGTCTAAGGAGAGTGATTTCTGGCCTTAGACAAATTCGTGAAGCCTTCCCTTTGTACTAATTATAAGATTAATAAAGGTTGGGACGAGTTCTTGTACATTCTGTTCGCTGTTCAACTTTGCTGCTTAAGTATTTCTATACTTAGTCAAATCTGTGTGAGTAAGATAGGCTGAAAGTTGCAGACGTTTGCAAGACTGCCTATGGAGGTGTTCGATAAAAATAAACCGACCCTCTTTCAATAACCCTCTTACCAAAGGTTATCCTAAGACTTACTTAAGTAAAACAAGAAGAGACTGTCCATACACCCTCTTCAAGCACACCTAATAATCCTTAAGACTACATAAGATAAGATCATTCCCTTTGCACTACATAGACTTTCTACCAAAGGTTACTCTAAGACTCAGTTTAGTAAGACATGAAAAGACCACCCATACACCCTCTTCAAGCCTACCTAGGAAATCCTCAAAGCTACCCTTGATACGGATCCTTTTATTCAACCTACATTAACTTAAATAATAATCATTCATTAAGTCAATTAATATACAATTAAGCATTTAGAGGACATCACGTAATGGTTTTGGAGAAGACCTAGGGAAACCAAATCCTAGCATCTTCAAAGCCTACTCGTTCAATGTCTAGATAGTGTGCGAGTCGACTAACTAAATGTTGTAGAACTTCTCCAACACTAGAATGCATCCTACATGATGTAAATATGCATTAACATTCATAGACCATACTATCTAGACATGGAATGCGGAGTCTACCCTACTCCGATGGAGTGTGTTTTACTTGCCAAGGGTAGAACTAGGACACATCCCATGTAGGCATATGACTAAGGAATATCAAGGGTTTGTTTGTATCCTAGTCTCATAATAAGTAGAGTCACTACCACAAGCATATTCTCTCGGTGCTTTGCCTTAGTTCTCATTAAGTAAGTTCAATCACAATAAGGCATATGAAAAGGCAACACTTCATAGTATTACCAAAGCATAATACCTCTACCAAGGATGGGTCCTCTAGGGCTGCTACTTAATGGTTATATGGATAGCTCAATAACTTCCTTAGAGATGGTTTCATGTTGTTCCAACAAACCTATCCCTAATTCAATCATTCACACAAGAAGGATACTATTACGTCTTTCGATTTCAAGGATATCATAATATTCTTTCTATATTGAAGCTTCCAAGTTATTGACCTTCTTTACAGGTCCAAGGTCATTTACTAGTCATACTTAGAAGGGTACCATCTTAGGACTACCGATCCTAGACTTTCATTCAACATTTATTCATACACATACACATATATGACACAGGTACTTAATGTTACAAAGTCAAGAGTCAACCTTCATATACTAAGCATGTATAGTTTTCCCGGACATGGACCCCAACTAATGCAAGATTAATAACTTTTTAAAACAGAAACTGGTACTAAATACCCTAATGAGGAGAACTCACCAACTGTGGATTGGAAGTTCTAAACACTTACAAAGAACTCACCAACTGTGGATTGGAAGTTCTAAACACTTACAAGTGTATAGAAGTAATAATAATGTTTTTTCCTAAGAAATTTTTTACAACCAACATACACCATGTAGGTTCATGTTGTCTATCTTATAATCCAAGTAGGAAGGGTTGCCCTATAACTTACCGGGGTATACATCATATTTATCTGATGTGCATCCACTAACTTGGCAAAGGTCTAAAAGAGTTGACTTTCAAAGCGACATAATCAATCCTACATCGGCACACAGTTATGGGACACAACCTTTATAAGTTAAAGTTCTCTCGGTGCAAATAATCCTCCCACAATAATACTTATATGATATAGTCATATTTATGTAGACTATATGTATATCTTAACAAAGTGTGAGAGAGCTAAATCTTTCTCTCTAAATCATATGTAAAAAATTTCTTTTTAAAACATATCTTTCAAATCAAGTTCATCGCTTAAATAATGAGAAACTTTCGATAACATACATATGTTGTGATTTCTCAAAATTTAATTAATAGCATAACCAGTTCTAAAATCATGCTTTGAACATATAAGCTTCATGAGTCATAAAATAATGTCATGTCAAGAACTAATAAGGATTATAATAGTAAAGAATTCATTATCATAAATAAATAGTTCTAAAAATCATTCCGGGTCATAAAATGGTGAAGTTGGAAGAAGATTTATAAACCCTAACTATGGAATTAAATTCATAAAATTTAGGAGTTTCGATATGAGGAAGAAAGGAATTCTACATTGAAGTCCTACATAACTTAATTGATCCAATTACCCAAGAAAATGTATGATCATGGATGAAGAACCACAAAACTTTTCTTGAACATTGGTGATGAGTTCATGAAGTGTTGTCTTTTAACTCTACTAATTTAATGAGTAGGAGATATTAACTGGTGTTAAAATAAAGAAACTATGAAATTCTATGGTCAAATCTTACCTTGGTTGATGGATGAACCTTGGAGGAAATTAGTTTCTTGAGATTTTCTCTTTGTAGAGTAAAATTTTGAACTAGGGAGGTGACACACGACTTTTTGGTCTTCTATTAGTATTTCTGACGTGTCCTATCATCCATATAATTTCTTGGGCATGCAGCAGACATGCAGCAAGGCAGTAGTCATTGCCTCTAAATGGGTTGATGCCTTGAAAACTAGAATCACATACCTAGAATTTTGATAGATCATGGGTTACCTAATTCTTCATATTCTAGGAGATATGATAGATTGAAGTTGACCCTTATATGAACTCATGCGAAAAACATAGCAAGTAGAAAATCCTTGCGCTCACCCTAGTCTTATAGGTTCCTATGACCGTAAACCATATCTAATACATTTCCCTCACTTGGGAATGAACCTTAAGACACATATATACAAATTAGAAACCATCACGTTCGACCTATATCATATGACAGATGGTTCAGATATTTTTTAAAAGACATAGGCGTTGAAGTGTGCGACCATCTAATCTAAAACACATTTTTTAGTTGATTATATTTTCAACACGCCTCCAGAAGTAAGGGCTTGATTTACTTTCAAGGGCCAAGCACGTGGAAATTCTTTTTGATTTTGGTAGCGGTCAAATTCGATCACTGGACCTTTGCCTGCTCGGATATCATGTTGAAGTGTGTGACCATCTTTTCTAAAAGTTTAAGCTATTAGAGAGAGCACACTTTTATTATTCGATTATATTTTCAACAATAGGGCATTACAATTGTAGTCCATATTTTCACATTTTTATTTGTATAAGCTTGACTTCAAGACTTTACTTTTGTTATTTCCTTTATTTTTATTTTCATGTTTTGAGATATATTCGATTATGATGAAAAATTGACTTACATATCCATCGAAAAGAGTAGATACAGTCATGGCCTTGAATTTAGCAGTTTTCTATAGAACTTATTTTCTTCATCATTGTAATTAGTAAAGATTGTTACCTCATTAGGAATTTAAAATAAGGTCTAGCCCCACCTTCCTTGCACTTGGGGTTGTTGAGGATTTTTATTTTATTAATAAATTCCGCTAGATACGCTGTCTAGAGGTATAAATTTGTCAAAAAAAAAAAAAGATTCAGTAATTTATCACTTGATATATTCTTAAACTAAAGGATATTTAACCTGGATATTGGACTCCTAAAATATTGGAATGAATTATATTTGTAGATCACTTTGAATTCTGCCTTTTTCTCTATTCTTTTCAATAGAAAATTTTTCCCTTGTTGATTATGAAGAGGAGAAGGTTTAATGCAGAGAAATTTCTCTCTTGTGTTAAAATTGTCTGGTTGCATTGTTGTGATTGAATAGATAAATGTTGAGTAATTGTATCAAAGTAAATGTATAAAGCACAAACACAGTGAAGCAAGCCATTTAAGAAGTTCCGTTTATTAGCTTGGACTTGTCTATACATTTTCCTAGTTCGAAAGGATACAAATTTATTTGCTAAGACTTGTCTATGCTTTTGAACTCTCAAATATGACTTTGAAATTAGATTCTCGAAACAGTTACGAATATTTCTTGGAATGGTTGAGTCATATTTGTCATGCAACAGATCAAACATGGACATGTTTAATTTACAATTTTTTGTGCTGCTGCTGATCTTATTTCATGCTTCTTTTTCTGCCATACACGCAACAAGCATACTGTGTTACTGAGTAGAAGGAGTGCCATTAAGCCACGCCATACTAAAATTCCAATTTCAATGATCTGACCAAGTGCTTGACTGTCCTTGCCAGGCGTGAGAATGTAAATTGATATGCCATAACTGAGTGCTATCGAGGAAACTGTCGACCACATGATTACCATCAAACCCCACATGAAAAGCCTGCGCCTGAAGGGCAATCCACTTATCAGCAGCATTATTTTGCTGAGAGAAGAAACAAAAGCAATGGTGTTGGCATGAAGGAAAAATCGATACGATTTGGGATGAATATAAACCATTACTGATTGCCCAGTTTTATGTGAGGGTATTCCCTGATTAGTTAGTTTTCCAAGAATCACCTTTTGATGGGATCTTTTGGGCCTCATTTCCCCCTAAATACACCGGTGGTGCAGATACTTCAGAATGGTTATATCCAGCAGAGCCGTTGGAAATTTTTTTACCATTCTGAATATCTTTTACCCTTAAACCTCCAGCTTCTCGAAGACACTCTCCAATTGATAGATCATTCACGCCCCCTCCCACTCTGTTCTAAAATATCTAATGTTGTATTCTCATTTGCATCCATTGCATTCACACACTACAACAAAAATGATCATTGGCGGCAATTAACTTTTAATTGCCGCTAAATATGTATTTTTAGCGGCAATTGTCACTCTTTGTATATGTCTTTAAAGCCTTTAGCGATATTAGTTCTAATGGCACTTAACTAATGCCGCTAAAGACTTTAGTACTCTTTATTTATGTCAATATTTAATGCCGCTAAATGTTGTTTTTGTTGTAGTGACATCAATATGATGCGTCTTACGAAAGTACTAGGAAGTCTGCATGATACTGCTTATAAGAAATTGACATAGTCATGCATACCTCAATTTGCTTATGAGCAACAGCCAAATGCAGAATGTTGTGTCGATCACCATCCTTTGCATTCAAGAACACGTGGTCCCATCCAATCGCCATTAGCACCTTCAGAACCTCCAGCTGATTATGCTTCACACACAAATGCAAAATGTTTTCTCCATTGATCATCGTTCCTAGAGCTGCATGAGGCCTGACATGTATCAGTTCTTTGATGACTTCAACGCGGCCTTTGATGGCTGCAAGATGGAGAGGATTTCCACCATCGCAATCACGAGCCAGACACAGTTCAGCATTTACCAACAACAACATATGTATGATATGCAGGTGACTTTTGTGAATCCTATTCAGAAGCAAGTTGAGGATTTTGAACCAGAATTAACCTCACAAAGTCAATATGCCCACACAGTTCTGCTATGTGAAAAGGTGTTTCATTGAAGCTAGTTAAGGTAAGTCTATCAAGAATTAAAGTATCTTCTTCAAGTAATTCTTGTAAAACTCTAACATCTCCTTTAACTGAAGCTTCATACAGTCTTCTGCAGATCCATTTTCCTCTAGTAGATACTTTATTACAAATTGAATTGGATAATTTTATAGTTGCTGATATTTCTTTACTTATTGGATTGAGCCATCCTTGGAAAAGTCTTGCACAAAATTTTAGACTTGTTTAAATGATACTATTCACGATGCTTTAGATTAGGGTCGGCTTGATCATAAGAACACTAAAGCAATGACTTTTGAAATCCAAACTTTTTTGGGGTCTCCTTATTTTTCAATATATATAAGTCGAAACTCTCACCATTTTGTCCTTATCGTATCCCTAAAATAAATTAAATATTAAGTAATAATTATATTTAAATTCATGCATCAAACAAGATCTTATTGCAATCATATATTCTTGTACTAAATGTGGGTAATGAAGAGTCTATCAAAGACATTCACACAACAATGCAACATTATTTATATGTCCTTCTTGAATTCAAATTTGTGATTATCTTGAATTATACATTAGGTTAGTCTATATCATTTGTAAAATTTGCATTACCAATTTGTAATTGTAAAATTTCCTAGTGATTCTTTTTGTATTTTTTAAAACTTCATGCGTATTTATCTTCTTTTTGTTGAAAAATATGTAAATTATCATAGTTACAAGATGAAGATTCATCAATATCATAGAGTTTAGGCGGACCTTGCATAGCAAGATCTGAGCAAGTGGGGTGCAAGAATGTGAGCAAATTATCAAGTGCCGCACGTGTGCTGGCTAGAAAACTAAGGATGCGACAGTTTTTAGAATAAATTAGAGGGTATTTGGAGATGGCCGTCTCTATTTTTTTCTATTAGCACTACACTTGCTCGAAACAATAGGCCAATAAGGGATAATAGACAATTATTTCCATGGACAACTTTTTTCTATTGCATCAAAAATAAAAAAGTTGAGTTGATCCAATAAACTATGTGCAGGTCAATGTCCACGCTCAAATTGAAAGTGTAAATATAGGATTCACTCTTGACTAATGACAACAAAGGTAGAGAATTATATAGATGGAGTGTGTTATTTTATCTATCAACTAGTAGTAATTTATTATTGTTAATGCAGAAAATGATTCTAAATTCTAATATGATGGCTTTTGAACATTCAACACAATATTTTCCAATTTGTTTATACCAAATAAACAATTTTTCCACAGAGGAATCTTTATTAGAAAAAAGTATACTTACGTCTCCTAAGATATAGTTGATAACACATACTACTTAGTTAAACTATGATCGAAGTCAGAGCGCTATATCATAACTTAATTAGGGTCCTCTAACCTCCTCGAATTCTTTTTTTTTTTTTTTGTATTTTCGTGCATACAGTTGTGCTTATGTGACGACACATTTAACCAAGTAAGTTTAGGTGTTTGTATGACATATTTGCACGCCACGTGTGTAATTTTTTTTTTTTTAAAAAACTTCTTAATTTCTTTATATTTTATTTTAATTAAGTTAACACATGTAAAAAATATTTTTTTAAGCCTTGTATTTTAAACTTTTTTTCTGCATTTTGAACCTTCATAATTTATTCTTCTATTGGTTTTATTTATTATTTATTTTCTCTTTTCATTTCCTTTTGATTTGCAATCAAATTTAATTCTAAATTTTATGTATTTAATATAAATTACTTTCGGGCTAGATATTAATAAGTAAAGAAAATCAAATTCAGAGGGTAATAGAACACTAGTTAAATTGAGGTGTATCGTTGAAATTTGGATCATAATTTAGAACAACTTATGCATTGTCCCTTAATACTACACTATTGTCCCTCTTTAAGATTTTGTCTAGTAAAACTTTGTTGTCATCTATTTTTGTTTAACTTTTTTTTTCTACTTCAAATTACTTCCTTGTTTGTTAAAATATGAAGTTATAGGATTTGATATAAAATTAGATAGGAACAAACACTTGAGATAACATGAGAGGTAATTCTTTAAATAGTCGCTCAATTTTTGTCAATTGTCTTCAAACATCACTTTTTGTTTGATTTAGGATAAAAATATCCCTCAATTATTATTATTTTTTTAAAACAGTATTAGACACCTCAAAAATCTCTTTCTCTTCTAGCTGACATGTTATATCATTCAACTTCATCTTTATAATACTTATTTAACTCATTTAACAAAAATTATAATCTTATGTTTTAAAAGAAAATACATAAATTTATTAAGAAGAAATTATAATTCGTAAGAATCCTTTTATTATACTTGAACTTTATAAATTTTTACTATGAAAAATAGCTTGTTTACAGTTACTATAATGCCATAAATTTTGAATAGTTATCGACATGAATAATCAAAAAATACTGCAGTTAAAAAAATTCGATTGAATTTCAAACTAAGTCAGGATATACAAATCATTTCATGCGTTAGCTTACATTACTAAGTCATACTATTGTAGGCTATGTATCAGTTAGTTCGATTCAGTTTTGAAGTTTTTTGTTTGACTTATTGGTTAACGATCTGTATATATGTTAAAACGTTATAGAACCATTAAGATAATATCGTATTGATTATTCACTTATTGGTTATTGATCATTATTGGTTCATTTCTCAATTTAAATATTAAGATTTGACAGAAAAAAATTATTCAAAATTACTTAGAAACAAGGTGACAAACTAAATGAATCATGCATATGAGTTGACAAATTGCATCTTCCTCAAAAGTAAACAGTGTCACATTGTAGAATATTCGAGATTTTGAGATAACCAAATATAAAAGTATAAAACTGAACTCTAATTCAATGACTTTTATAGATAAAATAATATAAATATAATTATTAAATTAATTACTATCAGGTTATCGGGTAATCCGTTAAGAAAAAAAATTCAAACCATTTATGTAACACCTTGCAAATTGGAAAGTCAAATTTGGAAAGGAAAGTCTCATTTTGGCTACTGGTCATATCCTACAAGACCAATTTATGATTTTTAGAAGCATCTACTGGCCATAGATGACATCGTAGGAATGACCTTGAGATTTGGGAAATTCAAGTTTCCGAATGAAAAGGACGAATCACAGGACTTTTGATGATTCGTAGGACCTTTGACAGAGTCGTGAATGGGTTCCGCGGAAAGGTTCAACATTTAGTAAAATTTTTGGGTTAAAATTGAGGTCTAGGATAAGGTCTACAGATCATAGGAATATAGACAGTCCAAACGGGGCCCCATAGGAAGTTGTCAAACTTTAAAGCCCTAGTAACTCGACCAACGGTTGAATAGTACTAAACATAGAAATTTCTACAGTCCGTAGGTCCAACTCGTTAGTCACTCCGGCAAGTTTAAGTCAGGTTTATTTGAGTCTTTTCTTACGTTTCTAACTCCTGCACTACGTTGTTCTAGCTTGTAAATAGACCCTATAACTGATTTTACTCCTAGAAAAATACTTTTTCCCTTTCATCCCAAATATGCCCTCAAATGATTTCAAGATTTTCTCTCCTAGGCTCACAAGGGATTTATAGAGTTCTAGAGTTCTTCGAGTCTTCAAGGTTTTCTTTCTCCATTATTAGGGCTTTAATATCAAGGTATGTAGGGTTTCATCAATGGGTTCTATTCAGGCATTGAGCCCCAAGGTTTGTCAATTGTCAAAAGTACCTTTTAGTTGTTCATTCAATTCGTCATGCATTCTAATTGTTTTGATTCAATTTTTTGATATTTATCTTATAATGATTGTCTTGACATTAACCGTTTATAAATGGTGTTTTTTTTCCTTTTTATATTCCATACACTCATTTCAGTTTTCTATTTGATAAAATTTTGTAATTTCTTCCTTTTTTTGTCTATTGTAACAAAAGCTTAGTATCTTTGGCACCAAGACCTTCGAGTACCCACTTTTGGCGCCACAAGTTTAAGTGAGTGTTTAAATTGACTTATTTTTAGTGATTTTGGACTTTCAAGTTATTTTATTATTATTATGGAAGTGTTGAGATACTAGAAAAGGTAATTTTAAACACTTTTTATAGGTGAAAAGTACTCTCTCCGTTTACATTTACTTGTCACTTATTTCTAAAATAGATTTTTATTTTTACTTATCATTTTTGACATATCCATAAACGACAATAATTTTTTCCATGTTTACCCTCAACATTAAATACTTATTTTCCAAATTATTTTTCAAGACATCATTTAATATGAGATAAAGTAAAACCTCACTAAATTAATACTCAGTAAATTAATAATCTCTCAAAAATAATATTTTCTTTCAATCAAAACTTGGACTAATGAAAAAAATCACCAATTTCGATGACATAATAAGATAAAATATTTTTAGAGAGCCCCTATATAAATATATAGTCCATCATTATTATAAACTAATAATTCTTCAAAAGTACACCTATATCTAAGATAATTTAGTGAAATATGATTCTATTTTTTTTTGTTAAAATATAAATATATTTGAAGTTCATCACTAACTTTTCTTATTGCATCAAAAAGTTATGATGTTGTCTTCTTGAACTCATCATAAAATTACGAAGAATTCTAGATGTGATAAATGTTTTCTTAGGTGTAATTGGTTGCAAAGATATTGTGTCATCTTCAACTTCATCATCAACATTGTTTTTCCCAATGATATCTACAATTTCTTCTAAATAATGGACCTATGAACATGCATCACTTTTATCCGAGCAATCGAAAAGGTTATTGATGTCAATATTTTTGCGGTAAACGGAATAATTAATCATGACTTGGAGTTCATGAGTTATTTTATCATTAATCACTCTTTTAGTTAATAAATATTTGCTTATCGATAATATAATATCTCTACAAAATAATTTTTATGGTCCCACCTATATTAATTTAGTATGGTTTTACTGTAGTTTAATAAAATACTTATATCAATAATTATTTTCATAATGGGTATGTCAAGTCAAATTATGATAAGTAAAAATGACCGAAAGTCGAAAGTTAGATGTTCTCAATTTATGACTTTTAAACCAATTCAAACACTCCTTAAGTTGCTCTTATATTTACGCATGTGCTACTAAATCTACTTAATCAAGAATTTTGACAACATAATCTGTTTTTCAAAAGAAAACTATTTTAATGGAAATTTAGAGCGCGTTTGAATTTCCCTAAAAAGTAAGTTATAAGTAAGCAAATTGAATATTCAAA